GTACTACTGAGAATACACTGTTTTTCCTCCATCGCTCTCTCTCTCTCTCTCTTTCGCTCTCTCTCTGTCTCTCTGCTGATTGTCGATCTCCACACCCGCTCGCTCACTACGCACTGTTTGTGCTGTGACTGCAGAAGGAAGCATGCTGCATGTTTCTTTTGTGTGTTGTCTTTGTGCTAATGAGAGTGTGTGTGTGTGTGTGTGTGTGTGTGTGTCTCTATAGTATGCGGTGCATGTGGGTTTGCAGGGCTCATCTGTGTGGTGTGTTGGTGTATGTCTAGTTACTTTATGTGTACCCGTAAGTATTTAATTCTACCTAGTGAGAGTCGACAAATGTACGCATTCGAGAGAGAGAGAGAGAGAGAGAGGCAGCGAGATAGAGAGAGAGCGAGAGGGAGAGTAGAGGGAGAGAGAGGGCGAGAGAGAGAGAGAGAAGCTGCAGCTTTGTTTTTAAAAGAAACCTTGAAACCCTGCAATCTGAAAAGGTTGTTTGTTGAGCAGTTAGTGGATAAGAGAGTAAGTCAATATGAAGGAAGGACGTAGATAAATATTACTATTTATTTTATTTTATTTGTTAGGGAACATGTACTAAATGAAACATATTCTGGTTGAATGTTCTCCCCGTGTCAGCTTTGGTTCTCTTTGGGTTCTCCAGCTTCCTCCCACAATCCAAAGACATGCAGTTTAGGTTCATTGATGACTCTAAATTGCCCGTAGGTGTGGATGTGAGTGATTGGTTTTCACTATCTAGCCCTGTGATAGTCTGGAGCCCTGCCTTCACCCAATGTCCAGCAACTGCCTCTACTGATACTGCTTTGTCATAGAATATAGAAAGTAAACTCCAGAAATGTCTTCATTTATTCTGAATGGGAGATTGTATTGATTTACAGAAGCTAGCGGAACAGATTGTGATCCACTCTCAGGGAGAGCAGCGCAGGGTTTGCCATTTACTTTGACATAGGTGGTGGAGGGTGACCCTACGAGTGCTTCTGGTAGATGGTTAGCCTGGACATTTACAGCACTCACATTGACGTTATGGGTGTTACCTGCAGTTGTAGAAGCATTTCTTTCTCTCTGACTTACTCTCAGTTGTCGCTGAGCACGGATTAGTTTCTGTATCACTTTTTGGTAGTTTTCTGGAGCACTACATTTGGTAGCAACATGCCCGTCCTCACCACAACGGCAGCAGAAAAAGTCACCCGAGTCTCTTTGAGGTGAGGCTCTTTCCCATCTGTGGTTAGTCGGAGAATCTTGATGTTGCTGTGCTTCTGATACTCTGGTAGGTCTGACTGACATAACTGAGACCTGTCTCCGCAGTTGTCTAACATCATTCTCTAATGCTTGAATGTATTTATCTTCCCCTGAAGAGTCCGCCTCAGTGATTGCAGGTTGTAGTGCAGGTGGTGAAAAGGACTGTAATGTTGACATGCGGTAAGTTCACCGACTTGTGATTTCAGTTCTTGTATCTCAGCTCTGAGATCTCTTATTTCCACCCCTGCTGGTATCGTAACAGTCTTTACATGCACTGATTTTGTTGGATTCACCTTGTGGCGAGAGTCTTCGTACTCCTCTTCAGTGCGGATCTCATTTAACAACTGCAAAAACGTAGGTGGTCGCTCTCTCCGCTCCCTAAGCCTGAGGTTTAGGAGCATCATGTCAGATCTCATGGCTCCTTTAATGAGTTGGTCCAGACGTGCTCTATCTGCTTGGGATGGTTGCAAGCCTCCCTTTTGGACTACTTTGTTCATAACTCTCTCCATCCTTCTCAGAAATGCTGAAAGTTTCTCATTCTGGTGCTGACATAGCATTCTAAAAACAAAGTAGAGCTCTTCACCTGTTTCATGTGTGCCAAAAGTGTTCTCAATGTACTCTATAGGAGTTGTGTCTGGGTTGTTGAATCGACCAGCTTGCAGAATCTCTAATGCAGGACCCTTGACACTTTCCATTATTTTCAGTCTCTTGTCTGTCTGGCCGATCACACTCCTCTACCATTAGACGAGCCTGCTCTATCCAGTTATCCAGCTGCTCTTCTCCAGGGGGTGTGGGGGTGACTCCAGAGAAAGTTTGCAACCTCCTGTATGAGTTACTGTCACTAGTAGGTTTAAATGCTCTCTGCATTATATCTCCCACTGCTCTAATAATAGCTTCAGGTGTGGATGCTTGGAGTGGAAAAGGAGAACCAAAAACTTGTTGCTGTTCCTGTGCATCCCCTTGTTCATCAGTGGATACATTTTCCTCATACGTCCAAACATCCTCCACGGTGAAACACTGTCTTCTGGTAACACGTCCAAAGGAATGGCTTTTGTGTTGACCTCCTCTCTGCAATCACAAGTACCGTGAGGCCGTGACACTGAGGATCACACACCCTTCCTCTGACCTTAACGCGTCCAAGAGCTTTGATGGTCTGTAGGGTTTCTTCAATGAAATCAATCTCTGTGTTTTCTGGGACATCTTTGATCAATATGGCATGTGAAGGGTTAATGCCTTCGCCTTTGCACCAGTGCTGACGTTGTGCCATAATGCCCTTTGTCTGGTAACTGCACGATACTGTTTCTCTGAGCTTATACTTCTCGAGTTTCTGTAGTGTAAATGAACCTGTCCTTTTATTATATACAATAGACTAATGACCGAAATAAAGTGCAGCGTTAAATAATGTTCTGCTTATCTTACATAACTGTTGTTGTCTGTGGTCAAGAACTAACATAAGCTATAGAAATCCCAGCGGTGCCTCCATTTTATGTAGCACCCCAACACTCTATAGAGAGTAGACCTACACTGGAATGATGGGGTGTTTGGGTTGGGAACTCGTAAGGTAGTTACTACGAAGTTTACCTGATTATTGTGAATTTATATTACCCTCCGAATAACAAAGAAACTGTCAAACTTAGCAATAATTAAATAACTGACCACAGACAACTGATTGGGATGAAAAGATAAATAAAAGTTTACTGACAGCTTTTGAAAATGTTCAAATAATAATTACCCTTTCGGGGGACAAGAAAAACAAAACAACAATAACACCTTACAGCATACTAAGGGTATGGCCGAATACTCAAATTGACTTTAAAACACTCATGGGCCCACACACACTCACTCACTCACATTACAATAAGAACACGTTGCAGGCCTGTGTAGCTTGGGTGCGGTGCTGCCTCCCGAATCCTCATCCTCAGCAGAAACAGTTACACAGCAAATCCAAAATCACAATTCAATGTCAGTCCTTGAGAAAAACAGTATGTCGTCCAAAACACTACGCAGACAGCGGAGGTGACGGCCACGCCGGTGAAATCCTCACCAGGAACACACCGACAGTCTGTCTCGGCCCGCAATCTCGTCCTCCGGTCCAGTGACTCAGCAACTTGTACTTTACACAGCAAAACTTTTACAAACTCTCTGGAAACTCTACTGAGATTAACAAACGAGGTACCGTACTGTCTCAACAGCTAAACAGCTTAAAACAAAACTATCTAAACTCTCATTTCTCCCGTTCTTCATCTATACCCCTCTCTTCTCTCTCCTCCTTCCATCGCGCTTTTTTCCTCTTCCCGCTTCTTCCCCGTTCTTTTCTCATAACCCCGCCCTCTGCTTTACCTACGACCAATTACCACAAGTGGGGCTGAATGATACCTTGATTAACCAATCAAAGCACATTGCTCAAACTGAAAACACTATCAGGGTTTTTCTTTTTTACTCTGGAATAACCCACGGTTTGCCGTTAATATTGTTTTAAGCTGTTTTCTTCAAAACCTAAGTTATTACACCAGGGCTACATAAGGCTTCAGAATGGTGGGTATCTTCTAATGCTACACTTCTTTCAGTGAGAGATGCTCTCTGTGTGTCCCTTAGACAGTGCCCTTGCTAAACAGCAGTACAGTTGGTTATGATGAAGCGTTTCTCTATTGATTTGCTCTTCCCCTTACCTTGACCTGAACCCAACGAGCCCTTATACCAATCGTTCATTTCTGTGACTTCTGATCACAGCTTAACCTTAAGTTTTATGGGAATCACAATTAGTCGGGGAAGCAGACTTTGACACGCCACCAGCAATAAATGAAGGCCAGGATGACGACACCAACTTGATTTGTCTTATAATATATTGAGAGAAACAATGCCTAAAAGGACCTGAGAATGACCTCTAAGACTTACGGTGGCAGTATGTAGTATTTATGTAGTATACAGTACATATCAGTGGTATGCAGTATGACACTGGTGATTCCATTTATTTTGCAGTATGTTAGGCCAGGTCAAACTACTTTTTTAGTTACAGCAACACAACAGTGGAGTGATATCCCTCCACATATTACTGTGTATTAGCTCTAGTAAGTTTTAAACTAATGTTAACAAGGGTCATGTTGTCTCTTCCCCCCTTCAGACGCTGCTCTTTCCTCACCACTGCCGGCTGCTGTAGCCGCTCTGTGAGCCACAGAAATTCTCAAAAATGAATTTAAAAATAAAATAGCACACAAAAATAGTTTCGGTCACTGTTGTCGTGACCATTAACTTTGCCCTTCTAGCACTTTGCATTGTGGGATACATTAGGCCAGGTAGACTGGTCCAATGTATACTGCACATTATAGAGTTCTGCAGGAAAAGTCCTAAAACCCATAAATGAGTCAGCATTTTTGCACTTCCTGATCCCTCGTCTGGAAGTCAATGTGTTTGTTGAATGGTTTTTTGTTAGATGCCTGAAAAAAGGTCTGTGTTTAACACAAGCTAAAGAGATTTTAACGTTTTGTTTTACGATATAATATAGGTCAGTAAATTAGTGAATTTGGGACTTTTAGGCGTCTTAAAAGAGTTGGTTGCTAACAAGGGTCTAAATGAGACTACAAAAGGGACACTCATGACTGAGCATGGTGTAGTTCGTTTATAGCCTTATAACATTAGCTTTTTACATCTGCAGATTGCATTCACACTTTAAAATCACAGAAAAAGGTGTTCACCAGTGAAGATTATCTTGCTGAACAAAACGTTTAAGTATCATAAAAGTGTATTTGCCA